GGGGGGATTTCGTATTAACCTTGTTAAGTTGTAAGAAATGTCTAGATTGATTTGTCCGGGGAATGGGAGAGGGCAAAAAAGAAGAAAAACCAATTGTTAACGAGCGTGCATAAAAAGGTGAATTAAATTCATGATAGATGTTCAGGTAACACGTTCGCTACCAGAGTTATATACGTGTGACACACCGATTTCCAACGAGAGCCCAGAGTCACACATGTGTGACTGTAACTGTAACTGTATTTCATTTATTCATTGCATAAACAAACAAAATCTGCTCTAAACCTGACAAATAAGTTTGAAAACAGTCGAAGATATAACTAGCACGCATGGCCTGAGATTATGTTACGATATTTAACACATATATTAAAACAAATTATTAGCTTTGTGTCCCAGTGTAAAGCATGGTCTGTGGTGGGAGTTTTATCTCCGTGGCGTGGTAGTGAACGTGTTAATAATCTCTATGCAACACAAGAGATTTTTCTATTGCAGTTTTTATTACTTGGTAGGTGTCTCAGGTAGAGAACAAATTTCTTTTTTCTCTCGTGTAAAGTGTCTTAAGAGTCATGTAATCCAAAGTGTTCACAATTTTGAATTGTAACGTGGAAAGGTTTGCTTTGGTTGACATGATTTGTGAGACACTGGGTATGATTTAATAGTCTCACGAGTCGAAGAACATATCCATTGAATCGAATTCGCTTGGGCTGGAGCAAGGCTGTTGTGTTGTACCATTTGATTAAGAAATATTTTTCCATGTATCTTTTGTACAAAAGCCTTTTCTATGATATACTTCCTTTGGTCAGTTTTGCTGATGTCTAAGCGAAGTTGATGAACAAATTTGCTCAGAAGTAATTTTGCGTAGTTATATCTAGCGAAGCAAAAGCGTTTGTAATGTTTTATTACAAGAAAAGAAAATTAAATGAAAGAAAGGAAAGAAAATAGAACAAAATGTTAATTGATTAAGAGCGATCGGAGATCCTTGCCGTACTTTGGTATCTTTTAACAAAACCAAATAGGAACTTACAGAAACTGCCTGAGTAATGTTACTTAGCCTCTTTTTGTAATAACGTTGAACAATAAGGTTTTCGGTTCCTGAATAAAAATACACGTAACGTGTATTTTTTTATGCTGAATCTATTCTTTTTCTGTCATGTCTTGGCTCCAAGAACATCTATGTCAGATTGTTAACTTCTTAAGAACTGGAAGATTGAGAAAATCAAAATATCAAGTAATGATGTTTGAGTAAGTGTTAAGGAACAGCAATACACTGCACAGGATAATCAGAGAATATTTCTTGAGCAATTGAAATATTAGAATAAGTTAAACAGCTTATGTAACAAGTACAATCGAATGAGTGATCTTCCAATCCTATTGAGTAGTATCCAATAAAGTTTCCAAACTGTTTGCTGCCTTAGTAACTCAAATAATGGCTCAAAGGGCACATTCTCCAATTATCTTGAGCAGTGTAAAACAAGCAAGTACACAGATGTAAGGGATAATTTTCTCTTAATTCTTAGGCCAATATGTGAACAAAAAGGAGACACTAGGTAGTGTTCAGTGTAAAGAGATCAATTATTTTTGTGCAGGAACCACAAATAGGATAATTAGAATCAGCTGTGTAATAAGAATACCACGCACCTGTATCAGTTTTCCTGAGCCAGCGTACTTAGTCGATTTTCGAGGCGACAATTGAAAGAATAAACTCAAGGATCCCATATAGTACAGTTTTCGTAAGATCGTTAACGATAAGATCTCTATGCGCTAACGAGCACGCTTTCTTTTGCTTATGGATTCGGTAACCTCAGAGATAATCGAAATTGAAACGCGCTAAATCTCGTTAAAAGGGAATACGACGAATCTCTTACAGTAGTAGGAGTAAGCTCATCCTAATCTGTTTTTTTTTCTTTATACGCGATCTTACTACGATAAGACAACACACGTTTGTACGTCTCTATATGAAATTATTGTCGCGCGGAACACACGAGAATGTTTTATATCGATTGTATTTACGATAATATATACACATTCATAAATCAATTTTCCATCTTAAAACATTTCATTATTCCACATAAGTTCTCGGAAGAAACTAAGATGTTCCATTTTACAGAAATCTATTTAAGTTCTTAAAAGATATTCAGATATTCCACTTTATAGAAATCTATTATTATTATTGACCCGTTACCCACCAGGCAAACAGTCACTCTAAAGACTCATTTTCGTTTTATGGTGACAAGTGCATGGCGATTGTTTCCTTTAAGCAAAAAGGCAAAGCGAACGCGATCGACGTTGCACGTTGCAAATGCGTGCTAAAACTTTTTTACGAAGGAATAGCGAGTGGCCAGATAGCCGGACTGGTCTACATTGGCTGCGACAGTTCGTATATTCTCTCAGTACCTTTTAATCACCGATCGGATAAACATCGTGGTGGCGGACTTTTCCACGCACCGATTTCGAAATTTGGTAACAAATCTTGGAGAAACTTAACTTGCAAATTTGAAACAATATTCCTGAACCTAAAACGAATTGAATTTTATAATACTGTAGTCAGATTTGCATCATTCTTCATTGTTGATTGAAATATTCATGAAAGTAATTTACAGTTTCATAAATTGAAGTATGTTTATTATATTTTGAGTAATACTTGGTAATTATTAATTAGTTTTTGTTAATATTTGTAGAATGTACATTTTAGTAAAGTCGAAATCGATTATAGATTTTTTGTTATGTGTTAAAATTCGTTCTACAATGTTTTGTCATTTTTATGGTAAAAGATATTTATGATAATTTATTATAAAGCTTTTATATGGATATGTTAATCGCGTGTATAACATTATATTTTTATTAATAACTTTTTGTTGCAAGTGAATTATGATTGATAGTTAAGAATTCACAATCGATTACTGTAAACTTCAGATTGCTGTTCGATTAGTCGATGGCGTCAGAACGCTTCGATTTATCGCCGGATCCCGATACAAAACTAGTACAATTTAATGAAACGAAATGGTCCAATGATAAAAAGTGACGTTTCGCTGTGATTTCTGTGGTGATGTGCAGTGAATAATATAAGAAACGCTGTGAATACTTAGTGGAACGATGCTATGCACGTAAACGGACATTTCAGTGGAAGAAAATCTATTGAAATCGACACCGGTGCATCTTCTCGTGGTAAGTTGTTAAAATTGCTATTCCTGTATGCAAATGCGAAATTATTTGAGAATCATTACTTAAAAAATCTCAGACACTTTCTCAAAGAGACGTTTTATGAGGTTAGGTGTATAATAACACGCTACGGTGTCCAATAAAATTTATGAGAGAAATTATAAAATTCCTATATACGATTTAAGTATCATAGAATAGTTACAGAGTAAAATTTATTCACGTGAAAAATTTGAATTGTCATGTAGCGGGCGAATGTACCTGCAGGGATGAATATGTTAGCTGTTGCGCAATGGCGACATAGAG